CCCCCCCCCCCCCCCAACGCTCTCGACGTGCAACCAACTCACCGAGGCCTCCGGGATGCGTACTTCCATGGAAGGGTCCGATGAACCCGCGGTGCCCCCGGACGCGGACGCGGACGCGGCGGTGCGGGGCTGGTCTTGCTGCTGCTGGGGAGGAGGGCGGGAGTAGTCCACCGTCGGCGGAGCCTGCTGCTGCTGCTGCTGCTGTGGCTGCTGCAGGTACTGCGGGATGTGCGGCGGCGGCTGCTGCTGGGAGCCGGAGGGCGGCACGCTCTGGGGCGGGGAAGAGCTCGTCAGGGAGGGCGAGGACTGCGGCGGTTGCTGCTGCTGCTGCTGCTGCTGCTGCTGCTGCTGCTGGTAGCCTTGCTGCATGGGCTTGTGCTGCGGGGAGGAAGCCTGCACATTGCCCCCCTGAGGAGGAGCGGCCTGCTGCTGCTGCTGCTGCTGCTGCGGCGGCTGCTGTCCCTGGGTGGGAGGCCGGTAGACCGTCTGCTGTTGCTGCTGCTGCTGCTGCTGCTGCTGCGGCTGTTGGCCAGGGATCATCACCTGCTGGGCCGGCGGTGGCGCCATCGAGACTACCTGGCCCGTGGACAGCCCAGTGGGGGGGGTTGTGGAGAACACCGTCGTCTGCTGCAGCTGCTGCGGCTGCTGGGTGGACTGATACCCATGCGGCGGCTGCTGGGGAACCCCCACCGGGGCCTGCTGCTGCGGGGAGTGGGTCGGCATCGCCGCGGGTTGCTGCTGTGGCTGCTGCTGCGGCTGCTGCGAGGTCGTTGTGTACAGCGCCTGCTGCTGTTGGGGCTGAGCAGACTGGAGCGCCGATACAGTGGGCTGGTAGAGCACCTGCGACCCCGATTGAGTCTGGTCCTGGCTCGCGGCCGCGGTCGCAGCTTGCATCTGTACGTACTGCTGAGGCTGCGACGGGGCGAGGGAGGTAGGAGGGAGGAAGATGGCCGGGTTACCCGCCGCGGGGGCGGGGCTCGGCTGAGACATCTGCGGAGCCTGCTGGAGGGGAGGCGGCTGCCATGATACCTGCTGTAAGACGCAGGACACGGCAAGACGCAGGAAGTAAGGACTGCAGTTGAGACGGGGCGCTGTTCGATGTGGAGGGAGGAGGGATAACCCGCGGAAGGCCCAAGAGGTGAGAACCGACATGCCATTGCCTCGAACGATGTCAACAGGAACAACGAAGTTACACCCAAACGAGCTTACGCGTGAGGTGTGTGCTATTTTCACACACTATGTTGGTCGCCAGTCCGCACCTCTGGGTGTGTACTTGTAAGCACCAGCCGGGGCCACCGCAAACGAAGGAGAAGAAACACGGGAGGACTATTTTCATTATTTCTTCATAGAGCGTTTAACGGGAACATTCACTATCGTGTGTATGCCCACACGGGAGTATTCGAAAGATTCGTGTCCTTTTCCTACTTGACCAGTCGTGTCAAACTCTCGGTCCTGTGTGCGGCGTGGACTTTCCTACGATCGGAAGCCACGGCAACAGCGGGATTATAAGCCAACGCACCCACCGCCAGCAGACCGACACTATTCTAATTTTTTCAGCCGGAACTAGCGCGGTGGGTGCTACACAACTTGAATCACACACACACGCACGTCTTTTCATCAGTCAGCCGGTTAGCGCGGTCATGCCTACAATAGAAACACACACACACACACACACACACACACACCTGTGGAGCTTGGTGCAGCTGCTGCGGCGGCGCGGCCGAAGCCATCGCCGCCCTTCCCGACAACTGGCCGAACATGTCGGCGGCCGCCGCCGCCGTCGCCGGCACCGGCATCGCGCCGAACCCCAGGCTCTCCCTGGCTGTGGCCGGGATCTGGCCCAGGAGACGCTGCCACGCCTCCGCCGAAGCGGCCGCAGCCACCGCCGCCGCGCTCGACCCCACCGGGGCCGGCGCCGGCACGGGCGCCGGGGGGGCAGCGGCGCTCGGCTGGTCCGTGATCCACGGCGCCGAGGTAGTCTGTAGCGGGGGAGCTGCGCTGCGGGAAGACTTGGAGGATCCGTCGCGCCCGCCGCCGCTGTCGTGAGAATCGCGCCCACCCCTGCCGTACCTGCCACCGCCGCGGTCGCTCCCGCCACCGCCGCGGTCGCTCCCGCCGCCGCCGCGGCGGTCAGACTCACCGCTGCGACCGTTGCGGCCACCGTCTCTGTCGTACCGGTCAATGTCGTCCCCGCGGTCGCGCCCGCCGCGACTGCGCTGTCCCCGCTGGCGCCGGCCGCCGCTGTCCCTGCCAGAGTCGGCGTCCATGCTGGAGGAGTCCGGTGGAGGCAAGGAGTGCGCTGCCGTCGGGGCCGAGGGAAGCCCTTGGCCGGACGGGAGGGTGGGGTCGCCGCCCTCCCACTCCGGGGCGTACTCCCAGCGCGACGCGATCTTGCGGGCGATGAGGTAGAGGCCCTTACTCATGGAGCTGTTCGTGCCGCACACGTTCATCACCCGGGCCTTGAGGCCCGAGCGGAGCTCCGTGTCGTTCAGGGTGTTGATTTTGCACCCGCTCTCGCGCTGAAGCTGCTTGATGAAAGTCCCCTGGCGCCCGATGACACGGGACGACGCCTGTTTTTTGGAAATAACCGTGGAACAGCACAAGGGACGGTGAAAAACGCGTGTTGTTCTTCGTAGCAGTCATATCAAATCTACGCGACAACGTTTTTGTTTCTTGTGCTCTGTCGGCTAAAATAAAACCTCAAGCCCCATTTTGGAAAGCTGGTTGTATCCTATGGTGCCATTTCCATGCAAGCGAGCATAGAGAGAGCGACGGAGCGAGAGCGAGAGAGAGAGCGGGTGTACACAAACACGCACGACCCGAGGCTACGCATCCAACAGTTGTAGATGTGTCTTGTCATATCTTCACCTCATCGGGGATCATGAACTGCATAACGCCGATCGCCGTCTCCATCTCCTCCCACACGAGGTCCATGATGAGCTGCTGGGCCATCACCACGTTGCGGATTGAGCCCCGCAGCACCACCTTGCGCACACCCGATTCCTTGTCGCAAAACTTGTCGCTGTTACCGCAGAGCACCGGCAGCAGCGACAGCAGTAGTGAGTAAGGGAGAAAAACAAATGGTGGCAAGAACAACATCGTAAAAGAGACATGAGCTTTGCGTGATTCTGCAAGGTAAACGACACAGTGCACCGTGACCGGGAAGGGACACATCTTGCAAAGTTAGCTTGTCGTGACAGGATACTTCCGAGTAGCAACAGATCGCCTTGGAAGAGACAGTCGAGAAGGGCGTCAAAGAAAGATGGAAGTCTCACCAAGAAGAAACCTAACGGGTTTCACCAAGAAAAGAAAAGTCAAGCCAGAACAATCTACGGCTTGCTCCAGTCACGCCGCCCCTTCCCTCCAACTCACTTCTCGACTGTGATGGTGCACTTGGAGGTACTGAGGATCGTCTTCAGACGAAGTCCGTGGCGACCCACGACAATTCCGACCACCCGCTTCTCGTTGGGGATGAGGAGGACCACGGTGATTGCATGCTGAACAACAGGGAAACAACAAAAAAGAGAAACAAGAGACAACCACAAGAGGAGGGAGAGGGGGCGCGGGGGCGAAGTGGGCATGAAAATCGAGACCACAAACCAAGTACCAAAAAAAGAAAGGATGGGAGGGTGCTTCGAAATAAGCGCGAGGTGAAAATCGAGAGCAAAACGTAGCAATGGCAGGGGGAGAGGACCGAGCGTTGAACATGCGGCTGTAGAAAAAAACGTCGACGCGCAACAGCAGTATCCGTTGCTTGGTAAGCTTTGTCTTGCACAAAAAACCTTGGGACTCAAAAAAGAGACTCAGATAATATGACGGCACAACGCATAGAAACTGCAAAAAAAAAACGATTGGCACACATGTACCAGAGATAAGATGAAAATCAACAACGAACAAAAGAGGTGCAAATACAAAATAAAAAATATGTCAAGTGCACGACAATCTAGAGTCACTTTTTGCACTTGCTGTGGGCTGCACGGTACAGTGCAGAACGGGGTACATCATCGTACTTGTACAAAATAACCAAGCACGACAGACGATGCGCCAGCTTTTCGGTGGTCAAGAGTGAGAGGTTGTCCGGAAGAAAGACAGGCCAAATCTCGAGTTTACCATGTACGGAAAAAACCATCTGAGAGGGGGCAGTGGGGGGTCATCGGGGTACCATGTCCAGACGCAAGAAAAAAATAAAACAAAACAACTTCACCTTGTCGAGATCGTCCGTCAAAAACATGGACCTGATCAACGCATTCTCGGGGTCCCAGTTCTCGAGGTCCCGGAACGGGGGTCCCCCCGCACCGCCGGCGAAGGAGTCCTTTCCACTGCCCCCCGCAACCCTTCCTTCCTTGCCGCGCTGCTTGGGGTTGCGCCCGCCGGCGGGGGGCTCGCGGCTGTCCCTGCTGTCCGCGCGCTCGCGCTTCCGCTCCTCGCGCTCCCTCTGGCGAACGCCGCCCCTGCGGCCCCTCGAGTTCTTGTCGCCGCCGGCGGCCGCGGCGGCCGTGCCGTCAAGCTTGGCGTTAGGGTCGGCGCGGTGACGCTTGTTGGGGTCGCCGCCCCCGCCATTGCTGCTGTCCTTGCCGCCGCCCGCCGCAGCGGCGCGGCTGATGATTGGTCGTGGTCGTGGTCGTCGTTCGCAATTTCGTTTTTGTTTTTTTGTCGTTTTTTCCGAACCAAAACGACATGTATACATTTTTTTGCATCGACCAAAGACCGAAAGCGGCCAAGGAAGAAAAAAAAAAATGCCGTACGTTTCAGACAGATTTGTGTTTCGTTTTGTCGCCCCGCGTGCCGAAACGACAGGGGTTCGGCGGCGGACGGGAAAGCCCGTCAGGTTAGGGAAATGTCCCATTCCATTGGAAGTTCGGGACCCACGCCGGACCAACGCGTCATGGACACAGACGTCCGGAGGGCGAGGGAGGCATGTCATGCCCAAGGGGCAACGAGGTAGTAAGAGAAAACATCGTGCGAGCGAAGAGAAGTCGAAGTGAGCGAAAGAGAACACCTTTTTTTCTGGCTAGCGAAATTGGAGGGAGGGCAAGGGAGTCGGTCCAACGGGCCAAGAAGCAGACATGCACACCCCGAAATAGCTACCGCTTGACCGACATGGGGCTACCGTTTGTCGCAGAGGAGGGTACCGTATGGTCCATTCGGCCGCAATCCAGCGATGTTCTTCAATAAACTCAACCAAACGCAGGCGCGCAACCCAACACTTGGCTTTTGAGCGAAATGAAGATACAACGTTTTGAGGGGCGACCAAAACAATCGACACCGCGGGAGAAGACGCTGGCAGAAACCATACGATGATCAAATGAATGGAGATTCGGGCAGTCAGTCATATGGTGGCGCAAGATACGAGACCACCTCATCTACAGTGAGTAGAGCGAAGCGGGGGCGGGGGGGGCGGGACCCACACACACACCCGCCGAACACCTAAGAGGCAACTAACCACACCAAGGAAAACAGCCAAGTGGAGACAGCCTATCTTTCCTCTAGAGAGACGTTCGTCATTCGATAGCCTCAGTCGCATTGCAGGATAGCTGGGAGAAAGTTGAAACTCCGAGGCCGCATGCTTATTTATCTTCCTCGACGCTGGCGTGCTATCTACTGGAGGAGAGACGAGGAGACATGCTGGTACTGATGTCGACGATGCCAACAATAATGGTGCATATATCACCACGGGAGAAGATTGTTCGCGGCAGTCGGACCAGCACATAACTTAACGGCTCATAGATTGGAACGGTGTACGATGTACAGGACGATGTACAGGCAAATATCAACAACGATACCACAAATCTTGCGAAGAGAGCCGGGGCTGTCTACACTTGACAGGGCTCTCAAGGGCTTTTCCTGCAGTGCGTCATGTTCTTGAAGCGATTGGCACATTGTGACAACACGGCCGAGAACACCGACAAGGCATTCTCAGCCTCTGAGGTGCGTTTGCTTGCCTGCGCTTGAGGCTCTCCTGCTCGAGCCGCTCTTTGCGGTCTATCGTCGCCAGCACGCTCTCCACAAACACTCTTGAGAGGATGAACGCACAAAACAGACAGATAGAGGGGCGCAAGTGCCGGGCGCCAGTGCACCAACATCACCAGGTAGCAGCACCAGCAGCAGCACCACAAGAAGAAACACATGGGAGGACAAGGCGAAAGAACACGACGAGGGTCATGACACAACAAAGCGGCAAAACAGAAAATCACGACAGGGTCGAACGAGCCGCGCTATCACCGTTAACTCCCGAACAAGGGGTAGACCGCTGGAACGGACTTCGGTTGTACAGGTTGTAGTGGAAAGGGGGGCGGTCAAGGCTAACAGCGGCAGCAGTGCGAAAACTGGTCCACCGTCCAGAAAGCGGGAAGACATCATCAGCCAAGTTCAAGCAAAAAAACAACAGAGAACCACCACATGCCAAGGAGCTAGCTTGCTGCCTGCGGCAGCGGGCCGCCCGGCATCGACGCGAACACTGGTTGGCCGAATGGCAGAAAAACTAGACAGTGAATCCTTTGGGAGCACCGGGTGCCGTGTATTGCTCCCGCCGCTACGCACACAAGAGTTTGTGAGTGTGGAGACAAGACGGGGATGAAACGGGTGCTTCAACGCTACAAATAGCACGTCAAAATCCAGTATGAGTTGTTCAATCCTCAGGTGAAACAGCCGCGGGTGAAGGGCCTGGACAAGGGGGCGACGCGAACAGAGAGACACACAGGGTGGGGCATCATCCCCACGAAAGTCGACCCGCTCCAGGCTTTATGGAGGGCGCCGCTGATGACGAAATTAACAATTTCCTGAATAAGTACGTCGTGGTCCTTGCTTGCGAGGAAACTCTTGAGGAAACGCTTGTTTGTCCCTTTAGACAACCCTGCTACCCTTCTTTCTGTCGCAGGTGTAGAAGACGGTCGGCAATCACTGGAGCGAATACATTCGCGTGTGTCCAGGCTCCCCAGCTGCTTACCGCCACCTGCTTCTTTGCCGCGCGCTCACTTACCCGGGAATTTCCGTCTAGTCAAACACAGCTTGGAATTGACTTACCCATACGGCGAACCCACGCCAAGGCAAAGGCAAAGGCAAAGGAGGCGGTATTCTCAACGGCGAAGGCGACACACGAATCCAGCTACGACGAAGGGGCCACCCACCCTGAAAGGTTGCAAACCAACGACACATCTGTGCGACAGCAGTCGAAATCGAGATGAGCAACGCTATCACGAAACCAGGGTCACTTTTTCTTCCTTTCTCGAGGTGGGGGGGGGGAAGAACTATTCCCACCGATCAACTCAACCCACGTGGAAGCAACATATTTGGCGCGCGGAAGAGAAACGCGGGCACCGTGCTGTCGCAAACGTATCGGGGTAGGGGTGGTTGAAACCGCACTGAAGAGGACGAGGAGAGCTGCGGGTGAGCAACCAATGTAAGCGAAGGTCAGGCACCGAGAGGGAGGGGGGAGGGGGTGGGGGGTTGTTGGATGCCAGTTTCTAAATCGCCCCCGTCATACCTCGCCCCCTTGTAGCTGTTCCCCTTGACTGCCAGCATGAAGTCCGCGGCGCGCTGCGTTTCCGGGAAAACGCACCCCGACATCGTGGATGGCGCCACGTGCGCGGCAGAGCCGCCCGCAAGCGTGAGAGTCGTAGCAGTTGGTAGGCCGGACAAGGAAAATAAAACGCGACCCATCAGCACCGAATGGACGATGAGACGGCCGTGGTCGTATACCGGGCACGCACACAGCCCAGTTGATGTAGCCACACCGCGCACGCAGCACAGCGGCAGGGCGTGTGTTATTTTTCCCAAGGCCGGTGGAACCCCGTTTTTGTAGTTTTTTCGTTGTTAACAAGTGGGGGTCCAGGAGCCCCGCAGGGTCGGGTAGGGTATGGGTGGGGTTGAGGTACCGGCAGCGTGGAAGACCAAGCGGGAAGCCATGATGATCCGGGACGGCAAGTCGTCATACGGGAACCCGCGGGACGGAGGTAGCAGCAGCAGCCAGGACCGCGCCGGGTTGTTTTTCCATGACATGCACAAAAAAAAAAAAAGAGATTCAAAACGGGCGAGAGACCAAGAAGCGATCCATGCGGAAAGGGTAGGAAGTTGCGAGCACCCATAAAGGACGAGCGCGATAGGGACGGAGGGCGTCGGAGGGGAAGGGGTGAGCACCAAGAGGGGAGGGCATTCTTTTACCTGACCGTTGGGAGGCGGCTGCGATGAGTGTTGAGAATGTGGCCGATCTGTGCTGACAACGTGCAACAGGGAGGGGATGCCAACCCCCGTGGAATCGGGGGAAAATTCGGTATTATCGCGCCCTTCATGTACATGGCGATGATGGTCTTCTCCCTTCAGCTAAACTGGCGGGACTGCTGCTGTGGTGGCATTTGATTGCCGGCGTGGGGGGCATTTGATCGAGTAGAGGATCCACCACACACTTGGTACGCATTCACAGATGCAACAATCGTTTTCTACAAATAACCAGAGGAGGCGAAGCCAGAACATGGCTGCGAATACAGCAGGGCAATCCTTACCAGAGTGCCAAATGTGGGCAGACCTTCGGCTGTGAATTTTGGGGGTTTCACGAGCACAACACTCAGAGCCAAGGGATAGCTTTTCTTTTGCCTTTCTTCGTCTCCACCTCCGTACACGTACACTCAACGGCATCAAAACTTGTACATACAAGGTGTGGAAAAACAAGAGACGCGGTATGTATGTATGCAGACCAGGTGGCAGGGCCGAACCAAGAGCGGGCTCACGGAGTGCTCACGTAAAAATTGAGAAACGAACGCGTCACGCGGTTCTCGGTCTCCCAAACGGCAAAGTTGAGTACACGTCTGATGGTTGTCGAGTAGGGCATAAGTACGTATGTTGACGACTTTACAGCAGCGGTACAAAAGGATTGAATGGACATTTTAGTTTTGCAAGCAAATGTACTCGTTGGGCACTAGAAAAAGAATGATCCTTCCTCTCCTCTCACCTGGACGTCTAGGTTTTCGGCGGTCAGCACGAGACTCTTGGAAGCGGCAATGGCGGCCGCCGCCGCCGCCTCAGCCACCGACATGCCACCTGCCGCGGGCGTCACCGGGGCAGCAGCAGCAGCAGCAGTAGCAGCAGTAGCACCCACGTCGGGTGACCATCTAGACTTGACGCCTGCTGCTGCTGCGGGAGCAGTAGCAGCAGCAGCAGCGGGAGGATCTGCTCCTTTCGCCGCGTCATCTTCGACGCTGGATTTGTTATCGTCGGTTTCAGGAGCAGTCTGTTCTGCAGCAGGGTCGGATGATGATGTCTTCTGTTGCTCGCCATCGTCCGCGGCGGCTTCCTCTCCTGCCGCAGCAGCGTCGTCCGTGTCCATTGGATCGTCCGGCGTTGCCGCCGGAGGGGCTGCCGCTGGCGGCGACGACGAAGCGTCACCGCCATTAGCATCGACAGCAGCTTCAACAGCTTCAGCAGCAGCAGCGGGGTCATCCTCTTCTTCTCCTGCGGAGGATACCTCGTCACCGTCTGCAGCGGAAGCGGGCGGAGATGGCTCCGCAGCTGCTTCCCCCTCAGCAGGCGACCCGGGTCCTTCCTCCGCCACTTCGGAAGGAGCCTCCTCTTCTTCGTTGCTGGCCTTGGAGTCAGTCTCTTCGTCGGCGGCGACGGCGTCGGCGGCGGCTCCAGGGGAAGATGGCGGCGGGGTGGTCTCACCGCCAAGCACGACTGAGGAGGAGAAAGATGCGGCAGAAGGAGCGCCGTCCGCAGCCGGCGCCACCAGCTCGCTGCTGCCGCCGCCTTTCATGGTCGCCTCCTCCTCTTCCGCCTGGAGCTTCGGCGACTCCTCCACGGGCGAGCCGGAAGCGGCCGCCACGGCAGCGGCATCGGCGCCGGCGGAGGTCTCATCAGGCGAAGCAACACCGTCATCCTCTTCTTTTACCGAGGGAGCGGTTTGCGCCGCTGTCGGCTCGGGGTCACCCCCGCTGGCAGCAGCACCCGCTGGTGCGCTGCTGCCGCTGGCTTTTGCGGGGGACACCTTGCCGCGGACCCGCGTGGCCCGCGTGGCGCGCTTCGCGCGGCCGGGCGTTGCCGCCGCCGCCGCCGCCGCGCCGCCGTCCTGATTTGCGCGCTTTGGCATCTTGCCCTGGCGAGTGGGAGGCTTGCCGACAGTAGGCATCTGCTTTGTTTTGTTAAATTTCTGGTGTTCCAGCAGGGAGCGAGCTTTGATGGCCAGGTGGACACCTGTCTCGGTGCTCAGAGCCGGAGATAAAACACACGTGATTCCGCAAGCGGATCGTGTCTGAAAGGCAAAACCGAGAAGCCGATGGAGGTTCGCCCGGATCGATGGCCGGATCGCTTCGTGTATGCGGGTGTCGTGCCTAAGGACGACTCGAGCCGACCGCCTACGATTTCCGCGCGATTTTCTTGACCGGGAAAAAAAATATACCCCTACCACCTACAATTGGATGGTGCCTATTTCATTCTGCGGAACCCCTCACGATTATGTGCCCCCGCACAAAGACGATGATATATTCAAGTATTTTGGTCTTAACATGTCACAGCCTTTGGCCCCGCACTTGTCACTGCTGGTGTGGTGTGGTAGGTGTGTGCGGCGGCCATGATTGATGGTGGGGACAGCGGGAGCGAGGGCGAGGAAGTGCTTGAGGTGGACTGGGTATCTCTCGAGACCAACCTGTCCGCGGAAACGCTGGAGAGTTTGCGACAGCACCTCCAACACCAGGTGAGGGTGAACAAAGCAGGTAGAGCGCTCACCGCCGTGCATACACAGGCACCGACGCGCGCAGTGTCCTCTGTGTGTTTAGACATGCACGACACGACCGCTGCATACACCCCTTTGACTTCAGGGCTAGATGACGAAGGAGTACCCCTGTCGACGTAGTCTATATCGTTGGTCGTGTTCATTGCAGTGATTGGAAGGACAACCGTCAATGGAAACCGGCTTGCGTACCACCGCCGCTATCAAAAGTTCCACGAAAAGTTCAGTGCATATCTTACCCAGGGTCGACCCTTGGATGTATGTTTCTCCTCTCGCTGGTACAATTGATAGGGACGAGGTTGTCTTTTGAGTTGACGCACAGATTCCTGGCAAACGCGGGCACAACATCGCCTACTATCGTTATTTGCTAAGCATTCATCAATCACCGTTCACAGCAGCAGTAGTTTAGACATACAGGATGAACAAAGCTCGATTGTTCTGCAGAAACGACGATGGCGGAGGCGTTGGAACCGTCGCGCCGCAAGCTTTCCGCAACCTTCTGTATCATTTCATCCGTGGCATACTCTTGGAGTGGTCAGGCTTTGGATGTGAACAGGGGGGTGCGGTATTTTACGCATCCCTCGGCGGGAGCACACTTGTTGGTACACTTGTGGGTGTAGGTGTGTGGGTACATTCGTAGTAGGGTAGCGACACGTAGGGTGAACATCGTTTGTTACAGACTCGACCCCGTTATTATGTGACGATTTCCCACCTCACTCTCTCAGGGGAACCTCCAATGTTCAGGTTAACCCACTAGCGAGGTACAGTTGACGCGACGTACATATTTAGTCGTGGGCGCGAACATAGGATAGTGAGCAGCAGGGGGCGGCGCTGATGTTGTAGGACATTTTTGCATGAACAACCTGTGAACAACCTGACCGTCGCTCTAACTACAGTGCAAGTCTCCAGCCCAGCCCGGCAGGTTATGGAAGTGTGAGATGAATTGTATGCACAGGCGGTGCTACACGTGTGCTTTTGCAGACCGACAACACCGACAACTACGACCGTCCTGTCTCTTCCGGACCTGCTGCCTTTAGGATGGTGCGACCGTCGCAGCACCCTCAAGCGCTGAAGAGCGAGCAGCGGAGGCAGAACCAGTGTCAGCAGCCGATGGGAGTAGTAGAAGTGGCGGCGGTAGCACTAGCCCAACGAGAAATGCGGGTTTGGTAGCACTGCCCGCGTCCAACTTGGTGTACAAGGCAAAGGAGTACTGGGACAGCCGCTTCTCCGAGGAGGAATCGTACGATGTGAGAGATCCCCCGGTCAACTCAAGCCCATTTGTGGGCCTAATTCACCCGTACTGAAAGTAGGCTAGAGCAAACCGTGTTCACGCGCTTGTGCTCATTGTAAGTCGGGACTCCCATTGAAGAAATAGTGGTAATGCGAGTAATGCCGACATTGCCGGGGAAGTGCTTACCGGACGTGAATACCCTCTGTTTGGCACGTGTGGTTTTGCTCTCTTTGGTGTTGCTGCCTCATAGCATGACGTGCCTCTTCTCATGCGCACTCCTCGTGTGATTGATCACTTTGCTTGGCGTGCGGGAAAGTGGCTAGCGAGCTACGCCGACATCGCGGAGCACTTGCACGAAGCGGTGCCGAGGGATGCCCGAGTACTCGTCGTTGGCTGCGGCAACAGCGGCCTCAGCGCGGACATGTACGATGACGGATACAGGCGAGTGTGTGTGTTATTTCATTTTTAGCATCGACCATGCTATCCGGCTGACCAATGAAAATACGTCAGTCTATTCCTTTGTAATATTGTAGCCGTCAAATGACGAGAATAAGGCAAGCGACATCTGAGTATCCTCCACGCAACACGCTCTACAACACCCCCTGATACGTGCAGGGATATGGTCAGCACGGACTTCTCGGCGGTGGTGATAGACAAGATGCGGGCGAAGCACCTCGCGGCCCGCCCCGGGCTGCGGTGGGAAAAGATGGACATGCTCGCCCTGGCGGCAGAGGACGCGAGTTTTGACGCCGTCGTTGACAAGGTGCAGTATGCTGCGTTAGGAAATAACGAAGAAACTCGCGCCTCGCCAGATACCGCGCGCGCACACGTGCGGTGCGTCAGGTTTCACCGTTGTCGAAAAGGTTGGAAGAGCGCTGCTTTTTCTTGCTGCTACTTTGATGTAGCGATCGACTCGACGAGGCCGTTATTGTACCGAACTCTGCCCTACGTGGTAATGTTATGTCGTTATTTGACAGAAGCCCATCCTAGATGGAAGTGTGCTCTGGTTTTTGCGTGCAGGAGTAGACTGTATCACTTTCCGGATGAAAGAACCACGGCATCCCCGTACCGATCCCGCCTCCCTCTCCTTTCGCGGAATCCCAGGCGGCAATGGACGCCTTAATGGTCGATAAGGGTGACCCTTGGAGTCCGGACAGAGCCACAATCGAGCAATCCCACCGCATGTGCGCGGAGGTCTCCAGGGTGCTCGTGTCCGGAGGCGTTTTCGTGCAGCTTTCGTTCGAGCAGGTCCACTTTCGGAGGAAGTTTCTTCTGGGCGAGCATCCCGCCGCTGCCGGTCTTCTTGACGCAAGACGGCAGGGCGAAGACGAGGGGCACAGCAATGATGGCGAGGGGGGGGGTCCCTATGGCTGGGACTTGCAGGTGCACGACATCCAGAGAGAGGGGGGGTGTTTCGGGCAGTTCTTGTACCTCTTGAGGAAGCGATGAGGGGCGGGGGACGGTGACAAACTGCGGGGTGTGTCTCTCGAATTAACCACGAGTAACGACGTGGTTTGGTGTGTAGACACTTAGGCGTGCCGATTTAAGAACAATGGGAGACAGCGTTGCCAGGTGCGGTGGCGCTGCTGGTGCTGCTGTAGAAATTGCGTGCCGTCGTGGTGCGGCGCGGCACCGCAGCTTGCACGTGAAAGCGAGCCCCACCCGGTCTGTCGTTTAGGCCCGGAAAGCGAGAACAACGTGTTAGCGAATGGAGTGGATTCGTCTCTGTTTGATGTGGTGGTAAGATTTGCCCCGCCGCAAGGCGCCGAGTCAAGCGTCGTACCGTATACGACACAAGATAACACACCCCGGTGCTATCTAGCATTTCGATTTAAAAATGGAGTTACGGGGTGTGTTCATGAACCCTCCTAGTACCCAGTCCCTCTGCCAAAAAAGATGCCTTAAAAATGTTTGTCAGCGATTGGTCAAGGGGCTACAGTCCCTCCAAAGATCTGAGCTCCGCCGGACAAAGGGCGACTTGGCTTCGGTATGAAAAGTGTCCTCAAAACATACTGAAGCCAAGTCAGCAAATCTTTTCAGCACCATGCGATGTATAGTTTTACAACCCAGGGGGCACGCGGGTTGGGAGATGCGTACAGCAAGTCAGAGGCCCAGGAGAGGCACCACACAGCATGTCACACAGCGTACCACCTCAGCCAAGCATGATAGACCAAGGGTTCTCACGTGCGTCGCACACAGCGGAGCCTATGGTGACTACAGTGCGGGTAATAGGCGTTTTGAGTGCTGTGTCCCAAAGTGTCCCCATTTGGGCTTCCAGAACTAGGAGGATTAATCTTGTGCCGTGTATGATACGGTATGCGGTAAACCATGCACGGACCCCCGGTGACGCGGTGTTGGCCAAGATTTGTTTGACGCAGTATGGTGTGAATAGCCCAGCCTTACGTGGGTTTCCCCTTTTTCGAATTAGGCTTGGGGAGGAACAATGCATTGAAATTGAGAGTGTCCGCGGTTCATTCCCGTAGATATATATGCGGAACACCTTGACGTGTGAGCTGGTAGAAATCGCGTAGTGCGTGATGCGGAGAAAGTCGAGTGAGTGTGGATACCGATTAGTCTCGAAGGGGTTCCGGGATTGACGTTTAGCAGGCCCTCATAAGTGCAAGTCCAGATTCTACAAGGCAAACACTTATTCCTGAGTGTTGCGTGCTGTTTAAGGATGTCATTGGGTAAGCTTTGGCTTGACAAAGACCAGGAGTGTTAATCATGTTCTACGCGTTACCGAACTCCAAGGTCTTGAATAATGAAGTACGCGGCCCATCATTAGATCGATTAAGGAGTGCCTTAGAGCTGGCGGTTTCGGCCCATGTTCCTCCGTTTAACTGCTGCTGGTATGGCGTACTTACTTGTGGACACACACCGTTTCGCCTCAAGTATCATGAGTTTGTTGCTTCATACACATGTTGCATAGTGTCTGGTTTTCGAGAAACCGCCGCGACGTGTGATACCGTTGCTACAACCGAGCGACGGAACGAATGTTTCGCATCTCGGTTCCACGCGGAAATAGCGCGTCCATAAGCCAGTTTCAAGTGAAAAGAAAAGTGAAAAGCGACCCTCTTGTCGACAGAGCAGCGGGCGGACATGCCTCTTCGCAGCTGTTCCAATGTGCAACTACCTTCAAAAGCAGAAGGATTTAGTCTCATGACCCCATCCCGGCGTAGTTCTGTCTGTTCTTCCACAAGATCGTGCGATCTGCTCGGAAACTCGCGCGCAACGTCAATTCACAATTCACATCTATTCCGCCGCGAAATTATAATAAAAACATCATTTCCCCCCGAGCGCAGCGTGTGTGTACCAAAGAGAGGCTCGATGGCCTTTACTTACAGCACGGACACACCACATTTTAAACAGTAATCGTCAGCGTGCATTTACGCCAGGGCCTCCATTCAAACGGAGTAGCACCGGCCGACCAAACCCGCCGACTGCTCTACATCCTCCAAAAGAAGTGCCACCATAAAAGTCGTGGTACCCGACGCATGTCTGCATCGACTAACAGGCGGCACCAACCATAGGCATGCATATACGAGCCCTAATGAGGTACGCACCAACCGCAGGCATGTACAGTGTGCACTTGTACCATGACGCAGCGGTAAAATAGCACCTCATGCGGTCGGTACAACTCAGCATTCTAGTCTCCCCGCCCGGGGCTCTTCGACGTCGTCGTTGTCGTCGTCGTCGTGTTCTTCTGCACATCGGAGATCTGCGCATGGAGATCTATCCATCGGAGATCTGCACATTGGAGATCTGCACATCGGATATTCGACCGCTTCAGACCCGCACGTCACGGCCGCACATTGATGCAACCATCCGAGAACCTTGGCCAGCCGTTTACTTCATCCAGAGAGCGAGCGATTCCACTCCTCATATCTTGAGAGAGGAGAAGGAACAAGAATTCAAAAGTACGGTCGATCAGATATAGAAGGGAGGGTTTGAAGGGGGGAGACAAGTGCAGGGAAATATGGAAAAAGGGGAACCGCGATTGATTGAGACATTGGGTACAGGGGGAGGGGCAAAGGTGGAGCGCGTATTGCCTCGTGCTAGAGACGACAAAACTACAGCAAGAAACAAAGAATTGTGTGCCTACGAAACAACAAAAAGCCGTGCGGCAATTCAAGTACCAGCTGGGAGATGTACAACAACCCAAACTTTTGCCAACATGTCTCAAACACCCGGTCTTCCGCTTGGCAGCCAGCGCTCTCACCGTTCCACGGTTTTCCGTGACACCGACGGAAGAACTTTCGGAAGCGCGGCTCGAAAGTCATCCAAGTTGATCCCGCGCACGTCCTTCGCGGCGACCGTGCGCACCCTCGTTCCTAAATCTGCTCAAAGGGCGCCGAATCACCCCCAATAACAACGTGCACTGGCAGATCAACCAACTACCGAACGGGCTATTTTGGAGGCCCTGTGCTTTGCACGCTCTTGCGTTTCTACATTTTTTTTCTCAACGAAACACGTTCCTCGCGAGCGAAGAGCTAGCTCCTGTTCGCTTACCGAAAAAAACAAAAAGTGTAACAGGACCGGGGAGTACGCCACGACATTCTTTGACCATCTCCAATACGCAACTAAACCGTTTTGGGTCTAAACGAGAGGAACATGAATCGATTTCTGTAGAATACTTGTGAACATTCTTGGAGTGATCGTGAACTCTTGTGGCGACCTCGCGCGTGCAAGCGAAACGCATATTGACACGGTATCTTCGGGCAGAGGACCCAAAGAAAAAAAAGTGTTGCACCTCTCTGTCGCTGGCAAATACTTTGCAACTTTCGCTGTCACCCTGCGTTCGCGTCAGTTGGACCAGTACGGACATTATAAGGTACTACGCGGAGACCGGAACGGTATTTAATGTCAAGACAACAACAACAACAACAACAACAACAACAACAGCCCTGACGATCAACCAAGCCACGTTTTCCTCAAAAGCAACCTGTGCAGATTCTGCACGGTGGTTTTATGACTTGTGAGGGGGGCGCGGCACATGGTTTCGCGTGCGCTGCCACGTTCTTCTTCTGTCGATGCGCATCGGGGGTGTTTGCTCGATCGTAGAGTTTCGATTTACGATAGGTTCTCGGGGATGGATTGTCGTAAAAGTTCTCGTACTGGGACAGCATCCGTGTAAGGCCACTCTTCACTCCTCTAAACCTGGATTCCTCTTAAAATCGGCCTCTCTCAAACCATACCAGCCTCCACCGACTACGAAAGAGATGTTCATACGTCGGCAAACGGCACTCACCTCTTATTGGCTGCATGGCGGCCTCTTTGCACAGCTGCTTGAGATCGCTTCCGGAGTAACCCTCGGTCATGTCCACCAGTGACGCGAGGGCAGCCCTGCGACAGAGGATAGAGCCGTTCAAGCAACGCGGAGGACGTGAACAACAACAGCAACAGCAGTACCAGCATCGACAACGAGCTTAAGGATAACAGCGAGACAAAACAATTACAGTAAGTGTATCAGCATACATCATCATCATCATCAAGCAGCAGCAACAACAGCAAAAGCATGTATCAGGAAACACCATCATCATCACCATCAACAGCAGAACGAGAACCCAACCTATCCCACCATTCCACACAACAGAGAGCAGAATAGGCAGGGAAACACCACCGTCATCTGAAGGAACAGCAACAACAACAACCCCACGCACCCCTTGATATTTCCCTTTTGCTGGCCTAGGAGGCCAGATATGAGAGCTTTTCTCGCCGGAGGGTCTGGCAAGGGAACATAAACACGCCGCGACAGCCTGCGGAGGGCCGCCTCGTCTAATTCCTGGCGGGGGCGCGCGGGAGGTTCCACACAAGAGAGTGCAAAGGGCGGGGGGGGGCACCCGGTAGATCTTCATCCGTCCGTCGACTATGAAATTGCACCAGTGGAAGGAAAAATAACTTTATCCATAGCAAGGGCAATAGAGACAAACCCAGCAAGAATCGCAGAGGACGAAGGTAATGAAGCTTTTTTAGTGGACAAGCGGATAGAGAGCAAGTGACCCACTGCAGGGTAACGATGCTAGCAAAGGAGCACAGAAAACGCAGCAGGTTTCGGCAAGTGGTGTGGCGAGTCTCCCCCTTTGGTGCTTGAAATCCGGAGGTTGGACCCCGTCGTCCAATCCCCTCCGCGGCCCCCCTGCCGGGAGAACCCGATGACAATAAAATATGTGTTCGCGTTGTTCATCCCGCTTCAACACTCAAGCATTTTCGTTGGTTGCCTGATTGCCGCGGTCGATGCTAATCCTAAAGAAACGCACACACACAGAGACGGCACACTAGTTGTCCCGCGTAAGGCTGGCGTCGTTCCTTGGCCGGCCGGCTAGCGCGGTCGATCAAAGCTAAAAAACACACACACAAAACACAGGAACACAGAAACGGCGACCGGGCACTGCGGTAGAAGCGAGTAGGGTGGCCGAGGCAGCACTTGGGGCGAACTATGAACCCGGCTGATGTTGCGCCCTGTTTCCCTGCCTGCTGTATGCTATACTCCTGTATGTCCTTTGTATTGCCTTCGGCCTCTGTGCTATGGTTCTTTTTTCATGACCTCCCTGCCTACTCTGCCGTGTTGGGTACCTTGATCTCCCTTTTGCTGTTGCTTTTGTTTTTATACATCTGGCTGTCTGCCCATCTGCCACCACTTTGTTCTGTTGGCTCCATTACTCCCATGCCCTGGTGCGTAATGCCTGGTGCTGGTACGTTACCCTTTGATTTTTTCTTTGGGCGGGTGTGGGAAGCGTCCTCCTTTTTTTTGTTTTTGTTTTATTTTGTTCGGTTTCCGAGGGCTCTTTTCTCGACTGGTCGGCGCGGTAGCTGTTCTTTTCTTTCTTTCATTTTGTTGTCTTTTTCCGAGTGGTTTGTACCCTATTTTTCGTTTTGTTTCCCCGCGGCGTCGTATGTGCCGGGTTTTGCGACCACGGGCTCCCCATTTTGTGGACTATATATAGAGCTTATGTGAGAAACAACAACAACAACAACAACACCGATGGTGACTAAAGGAACACAAGCACGGACGCTGCCTGCAGAAACGCGCACACACAGCTAGCTACATAGGCATCACAACAGTGCCACAGCCGTACCGGGCATCCGTACCGAAACCCCTCACACCATACCCCTGAATACATTGCACCATATACCTGGGGGAGGTTCGTGGCTGCGAGCACCAGGAGACGGTCATCCCCCCCCTGTCCGGCGCCGTCCAACTGCACCAGGAACTCCGTCTTCAATCGCCGGCTGGCCTCGTGCTCCCCCTCACCTCTAGCCGACAGCACGGAATCGATCTGGGAAAGCGGCGGTGGAGGCCGTTTGGGAGGGACGGGGAACCGTTGGAAGCAGCGACAAGGCAGGTTCGCCTGGGATTGATCATCACACCTTCGACTGTCGAGCGGAGATTGCTCGACGCCTCGCATACACAGAAGACGCCACAACTGACAAACTGTTACTGCTGTGTGTTTAACTTGAGGTTCGTTTCTTGCTCTACGGGGAAACTCCAACAGCGGCTAGACAGGCGCGTAGTGCAACATGCTCAACTTAGCACCTGTCTTCGTACGGTGGTATCTTAAGTTTCAAAAGTTCTTGCAATTGTCTTAGGCTAGATGTCTTGAGTCCCAGGTCCTTAAGTGGCGGCTCCTTCTGTACAACGCGTTCCGATATGCTGTTCATCACCCAGAACCACGTGTCCAGCAAGTGATCTGTCTACCAGTGAAGATGGGTATCTTTCAACAAGAGAAAAAGCGAATGCTTCCTGCTACCCCAACCTTTATTTAGAAGTGACAAAAAATGAACTCCGGGCCAAGATAGTAATCGGAACGATTTCAATGTCGCCGCCATATTTATCAACCGTTCGAAATGACTGAACTCAAATTGCACACAAAGTTCGCACCTGTTCGACGATATTAATCCCTGCACAAAAAAAAAGCCGGAGGTCTTCTTTGACCACATCGAAAACTGCGTGCCATCTTTCGAAAATTGCGTGCCGCCTTTCGATTTCTACAATCAACTCATCAACCCCAACCCAAGTTTACTCCAGTCTTACGGTGTACGATGAAAACAGCGGCCCGCGGTCGCCAGCAATCTCCTAGACGAATCACCCCGCCCCGGTGTAAGAAAATATGCAATACACACAATCAAAGAAATACTACCCATTGGAGAATGTATCACAGTTGTTCACACCTCGTCGATGAAAATAACGGCCGGCACCCTTTCCCTGGCCACGGCGAAGAGAGCCCGGACCATCTTCTCCCCCTCGCCGACGTACTTGGAGGTCAGCGACGAGGCCGAGATGTTGAAGAAGGTGTAGCCGCTCTCGGTCGCCACCGCCTTCGCCAGCATCGTCTTCCCCGTGCCTATCGCGATCGCCGGCATGGGGGGCAAGGATGGATGGACGGCTTGAGTCGTGGCCAGAGTATGGTCTTGTAACGTGTTGCTAGACAGATCTGATGCAAGGTGGTGGAGAAGAAATGCATGTATGGTTCCCTTCACCTTTTCAAGGAGAGATCCCCGTCCCTCTTGTGATCGCAGGCATAGGAGTAAGGATGGATGAGCGGCTTGAGTCGTGTTCAGATCATGGTGTTGAGCAACGTGGGGCTTGAATCGTTCTGATCCGGGGCGACGCAGATGAACTGCTCTACGGTGCATGCATGCACGCCTCCCTTCATGTTTTCAACGACAGAAGGGTTCGGCAAATCTTCTAAGAAGAATCGCTCTGCGGTGCATGCCTGCACGCACCATTTCGCTTTTGCAACGAGGGAAGGGTTCGGGCAATCCTCTCGGCATAACTTACCTGCGGTTCATGCACGTACACCTCCCTTCCTGTTTTCAACGAGAAAGGATTTCAGCAAACCCTCAGTAAAGGTTGCTCTGTGGTGCATGCCTGTACGCCTCCCTTCATTTGTTCCAACAAGAGAATGGATTCGGCGAAGTGATGGAAGAATTTCTCTCTGGTGAAAGAATGTACGCCTCCCTTCCTGTTTTCAACGAGAAGGGTTCGGCAAATGAATCGGAAGAATTTCTCTCTGGTGTAAGAATGTACGCCTCCCTTCATTTTTCAACGAGAGAAGGGTTCGGCAAATGAATCGGAAGAATTTCTCTCTGGTGTAAGAATGTACGCCTCCCTTCATTTTTCAACGAGAGAAGGGTTCGGCAAATTGATCGGAATTTTTCTCTCTGGTGTAAGGATGTACGACTCTCTTCATTTTTCAATGAGAACGGTTCGGCAAAGTGATCGGAAGAATTTCTCTCTGGTGTAAGAATGTACGCCTCCCTTCATTTTTCAACGAGAGAAGGGTTCGGCAAATTGATCGGAATTTTTCTCTCTGGTGTAAGGATGTACGACTCTCTTCATTTTTCAATGAGAACGGTTCGGCAAAGTGATCGGAAGAATTTCTCTCTGGTGAAAGAATGTACGTCTCTCTTCATTTTTCAACGAAAGAAGGGTTCGGCAAAATAATCGGAAGAATTTCGCTCTGGTGTAAGAATGTAGGCGTCCTTTCATTTTTCAATGAGAACGGTTCGACAAATGGATCGGAAGAATTTCTCTCTGGTGTAAGAATGTACGCTTCCCTTCAATTTTCAGTTATGAGGGTTCGGCAAAGTGATGGGAAGAATTTCTCTCTGGTGCAAGAATGTACGCCTCCCTTCGTTTTCAATGAGAACGGTTCGGCAAAGTGATCGGAAGAATTTCTCTCTGGTGTAACAATATACGCCTCCCTTCATTTTTCAACGAGAGAAGGGTTCGGCAAAACAATTGGAAGAATTTCTCTCTGGTGTAAGAATGTACGCCTCCCTTCATTTTTCAGTGAGAAGGGTTCGGCAAAATAATCGGAAGAATTTCTCTCTGGTGCAAAGAATGTACGCCTCCCTTCATTGTTCAATGAGAACGGTTCGGCAAAATGATCGGAAGAGTTTCTCTCTGGTGTAAGAATGTACGCTTGCCTTCATTTTTCAGTGAGAACGGTTCGGCAAAATAATCGGAAGAATTTCTCTCCGGTGTAAGAATGTAGGCCTCCTTTCATTTTTCAATGAGAACGGTTCGGCAAAATGATCGGAAGAATTTCTCTCTGGTGTAAGAATGTACGCTTCCCTTCATTTTTCAGTGAGAAGGGGTTCGGCAAAGTGATCGGAAGAATTTCTCTCTGGTGCAAGAATGTACGCCTTCCTTCATTTTTCAATGAGAAGGGTTCGGCAAAATAATCGGAAGAATTTCTCTCTGGTGCAAGAATGTACGCCTCCCTTCATTTTTCAATGAGAACGGTTCGGCAAAGTGATCGGAAGAATTTCTCTCTGGTGTAAGAATGTATGCTTCCCTTCATTTTTCAGTGAGAAGGGTTCGGCAAAAAAATCGGAAGAATTTCTCTCTGGTGCAAGAATGTAGGCCTCCTTTCATTTTTCAATGAGAACGGTTCGGCAAAATGATCGGAAGAATTTCTCTCTGGTGTAAGAATGTATGCTTCCCTTCATTTTTCAGTGAGAAGGGTTCGGCAAAAAAATCGGAAGAATTTCTCTCTGGTGCAAGAATGTAGGCCTCCTTTCATTTTTCAATGAGAACGGTTCGGCAAAATGATCGGAAGAATTTCTCTCTGGTGTAAGAATGTACGCTTCCCTTCATTTTTCAGTGAGAAGGGGTTCGGCAAAGTGATCGGAAGAATTTCTCTCTGGTGCAAGAATGTACGCCTCCCTTCGTTTTTCACCGAAAGAGAAGGATTCGGCAAGCTCTGCTTCACTCGTGTGCCTCCCCCTGTCGGTAGATTATCAAACGTGTGTGCGTTTCTTATCCCGCGAAGACCGGCGTATTTCCATTGGTCAGCCGGCAAGTGCTGCCGATGCTAAAACACACACACACACACACACACACACACACACACACACACACATACACACGGGGTCCCATATCATGGCCTTCAGAAGCACTTTGTGTCTTCAACCGCACTGAGGCTGACGTCTTCCGGCTTTTCATTGGTCAGCCGGTTAGCGCGGTCAATATCAAGAAAAAACACACAAAAAGTAGGAAAAAAGTTCGTAGCCGCTCGCATTTCTTACCCGGGGGCCCATAGAGCAACACACCCCTAGCGGGTGCTCTGAGTCCGGTGAAGAGGTCTGGTCGGAGGTTTGGCAGAATAACGGTCTCCTGCAACGTCTGCTTCGCGTACTCCAGGCCCGCGATGGAGTCCCACGTTACCCCTGGCGAGCTGAGGAAGAGAGATAAAAACGAAAGCAACAAAGAGAAGGCCTGGTAAGAACGAGGATCGAAAGAACAAAACAACAACATCGAGCTCTGATTGGTCGAAGACCAAAATCGAGGCGATGTCTGGGTTTGCAGAAGATCTCAATCTCGATGCTTTCCTGGCTGCGAACCAACAGCTCGTCAGAGGTCGTTTCATTACAACCAACCAACAACAATCACAACTACGCCGCCAAACAGCACAATAAGCAGGGGGGCGTGCAGGCCGAAATTCCGGGTGGGGACTCGTATGTACGGAAGCAACACCGGAGGTGTCGGGAAGGTTATAGTTGTTACCCACACAGTGGCAAAGGTAGACTCCGACAGGTCATCATTCGACACGTCAAGATCTATTAGACATTCTCCGAGGTAACGTTAACTCAAGGACTTCTTCCACTCATTCGATCGCGGGCACGGTGGAGGGAACTCAACAACGGCGGTTGACTACATGGTCCCGGTGGCCCGGTATAGCAACGGCAAAATGAAACGGGCACAGCCTAAATCACGGAGTCATTCCGTACTCTGAAAAGTGCCGGTAGATTCGCCTGGCACATTCCGGCGTTGTCGAGACCCCCCAACGGTATTGCTCTCTTGTAACGGCTACCAACCTCTTCGTGTAGCGATGCGCAACTTTTTAGCTTCAAGGAACACCTGGCCCCTAGAAACTAAGCACCTACAATGCAAAAAGCGAAAAAGGAACACAACACTGACAAAACAGTCTTCTCTCCTTTGGACCGGGAGCAGAAAATCATAAATACACCAAGCGACCTGTCAGCTTCGACCAGGCACGGGTTTACAGGCAGCGCTTCAAGGTAGTCTCAACAAAAGCCATGAGATTGAAATCGCACCGCTATCCACTTTCTCCATGTACTGTGGTCCCTACTGGCATCAGCGAAGGCATGACAATCAAAACTACTGCAACAACATTTCCAAACCCAAGCAATCAAGCAGACACGCTCCGGGTCTTCAGTCCCACCTGTCAAGCATATCCTCCAGAATCTTGTTCTCTAGCTCGGACTTATCCGATTTTTCTCGCCGACCTCCCCCCCGAGCGCCACCGCCCCCTGTCCCCGCCGCTGCCGAACCGGCACCTATTCCACTGCGGCCCCTTCCTGCTCCGCCTCTCGTGAACGTGGAAGGTGTGCCGCGGCCCGAAGCGGCACCTATTCTACCGACGCCTCTTCTTGCTCCGCCTCTCGTGTACGCGGAAGATTTTCCGCCGCCTGACGACCGCGAAGCGTGGTTCTCCCCGTCAGGCGAACCGGCATCAATACTGCCGCCCTTTGGTAGACATGTAAGGATTTATCGAGACAACGAGGGGAACGATCAACAGATTGAACAGGGTCCGGAGAGTGGGACGCAGGGAGAGTTGAGGTCGAAATGATGGGCCAAAACAAGGAGGACTTGCCCGATGAAAACACAACAATCCAATTGGTGTTCTAAATATAAGAATAGAATGGCGAATACGCACCGCTTTTTTCGAACATGGCTTGGACTGCGCCAACGGATTGGAGGTGGACACCTGCCCGAAGCGTTCTGACAGAGACAACGACCGAACGATCCGTACCAACGCATCCCCGGAAAAATCGCCTCTCGCAAGGCGGAGGGAGAGGGAGCGCCCTGGAGATTTGACAGAAAATCCACGGTTGTGGCCTCTAGCCTGTCCTCGGTATCATGCACGGCCGCGTTGACCGTCTGACCTCAAGCCCGCGATCCCCTCGCAGCCCCCTAGTTTTGAATCACGAACGACTTCGGCCGGGTTTAGCAAGACCGAGCCCGCCGGGAACTGCAGACTGTCCGCGCGGGGACACACACTTCTCCAAGCGACGGCAAACTCTCCGTCGCCGGTCTAAACAACAAAAAAAGGGATTTTCGATTGTTCGGACTGTGTGTCCATCCTCTCTGTGATTTTCCTTCTGAACCACCCCTCCCCGAAAGCTTTCGGGCAACCGAACCTCCCTCTCACCCGAAGGCTGCCCCTGACATCTGCTGCCGTAGGCTTTGGTCTCAACAATGCCGCCTTCCCCCTGCCGCTGTCTCTCCATCCCGCGGAGGCGGGACGAGTGGGAGAAGGCGACTGGGGTGGACCCAGCGCCAGCTTGATGTGTTCGGCTCTCGACATGTGCACCCTGGCCTCATTGATCAGCGTCTGTCGCCGCTGGTCCCCAGGCTCCTGCCGGGCTCCCTGCAGCAGGAGGTCTATCCCTCTCTCGTAGAGCGTAAAGGCCTCTGGGTCAAGCGGGGGTGAGTTCAGCACACGTGGAATGTACTTAGCTGTGTAAGACTCCGTCGCCTACTAAGGTTTTTATTATGAAGCAAAACATATTGGATAAAGAATAGAAACGGTGGAATTTTGGGGGTTACGGTTAGGATTGGGGTCTGTGTAACCCCTGCCTCTGTATTTCACAGATAGCCTTCATTTCTTCGCCCAGGCGGCCCATAGCACTCTACAGGTTTGTTGCTGTTTTTCACATTAGCTCTATAGTCCACAAAAAATGGGGAGCCCGTGGTCTCAAAACCCGGCACATACGACGCCGCGGGGAAACAAAACAAAAATAGGGTATAAACCACTCGGAACAAGAAAACAACATGAAAGAAAGAAAAGAACAGGTATCGCACCGACCGTTCGAGAAAAGAGCCCTCGGAAACCGATCAAAATAAAACAAAAACAAAAAAAAGGAGGACGCTTCCCACACCCGCCCAAAGAAAAAAACAAAGGGTAACGTACCAGCACCAGGCACTACGCACCAGGGCATGGGAGTAACGGAGCAAACAGGACAAAGAGGCGGCAAATCGGCAGACAGCCAAACGTACAAAAACAAAAGCAACAGCAAAGCGAGATCAAGGTACCCAACACAGCAGGGCAGGCAGGGAGGTCATGAAATAAAGACAGTGTAGTCGGGCGAAGGTCGGGCAATGGCCTGTTATAGAGGGTCATTCAGAGTTGAGGGTCTCATACATTTTCAAGATCTCAGCCTTCGATCTATTCGTGCACTTTTTGTACGACCCTTCGTAGGTTGACGACCGTGCCGGCATGCCAAGCGTATTCGGACCTGTTGAAGCCGAAATCAAACCAAGCTGGCTGGTCTTGATGGTTTGATTTTTGATTCTACAAAAGATGGTCGTGGGGTTAAGGGTGCAAGGCAGTAGTCTAATTCCTTCATAAAGCACAGGGGTCTCGCTTGGGGGAACCTGGTTTCGTCGGGGTACCCTCTCTTGGGACCTCCCCGAAGCAACAATTACGCAAGACGAGTACGTAGCACGCCTAGATGGCATTTAAACCGCTCATAAAGTATAAACATGCGTGCAGTAGGGTAGGTGGTAGAGTCAAGAACCACCCACTCTGGCACGAGCCCCAAGTGTACACAACCAATTTAGACCGCTCAAAGTATAAACATGCGTGCAGTAGGGTAGGTGGTAGAGTCAGGAACCACCCACTCTGGTACGAGCCCCAAGTGTACACAACCAACTTGGACTTCACGGCTGGGAGGATGCCCTTGTGGTAATGTAGTACGAAACGATCGACCCCCCACGCCTAACGCTAACATGAGTGGCGCAACAGGTGTCGTAGAGCAGGCATGACTCACACACGATGATACTTCGTAATTAGACTAATACTTCGAAGTACCACTGCAATTGTACTATTTGCTGTCAGCGACGCAAGGATTTGAAATAGAGCAGCTCGACATGATGGGCAGCCCGCGCGGGGAATTTGGCAAGAAACCGTTGGCGGGATAAAAGAGGCAGCCATAAAAGCAACACTTCAACGTTCGTATGACCGTGTATCTGGAGCAGAATAACCGGCAGTACAGCCGATGCCGGTGGCAGAACAAGTCGATAGCTTGGTGATCATAACATGTCGGACAACAACGCTACCAACTGCTATGTGCGCCGGGCTACGCTGCGACACTGCTGCTGCTTCTGCTGCTGCTGCTGCTGCTACGCTACAACGCAGTGTTGCGGACGCTTCACCTTCAAGCTGCCCTTGCTTGTCCATCGATGTCGCTCTCTCGAGCATTGCGATCCCGCTGTCGATCAACGCATCGTTCCCCGCCGCGGCTGAAGCAGGACCAGCGCCCCTCCAAGGCCCAGTGCTGTTCATCTCGCAAGAACGCTCTGTCTCCCCGACAGCAACCAGTTTTGATGGGCCAGTTGTGCCGCGGCAGTATGTGTAGTCACGCCGGGAGCGCTCGTGCTATCGCTCTCGTAGAGAGAAATGTGTCACACAAGCTGTGGAGGTAACTCCCTCCACTTGGACCCACGAAGTACACCCTATCCAACGGAAGAACTATCGCTCTCTCGCTCTCCCTCTGTCTCGGCGACGAGCAACTCCTCAGTCCTGTCCTCCTGGGTGATGGAAAACAAGATGGGGGGGGGGCTCGCGAAGTATATTTTGAAGTTCTGTGATGTTCACGGTGCCCCCGTGCTCATGATCCGATCTATGCATACGATCCACACATGCCTGACATATGCCATGTACGCATGCATGCACAGCAAATCATGCAATCGAGGTCGTGTAAGTCCACCATACATTGCGTGTCCTGATGGGAAGCGTGATGAATGGTCAGCTGGGCGCCATATCGGTCCTGGCGGGGATCGCGCTCTACTATTGTCGAAGGAGGCTAATTGAAGCTCAACACAAGAACTCTGGCTTGCCTCCATATGCTGAAACCCAGCTGTTGCAGGAAGAGGGGGGAACTCCTCCTTGCCTCGCAGACGGCTGTATTTCTCGAAGCACGGGCTGCCGTATTGATGCTGCTGAACCTCTTCCAGGGGTGCCTGCAGAATTTGCGCTCCGGCGTTCGTGGACAGGGATCGTCGTCGGATTTCTTTGGGGATTGGATCTACAGCAGTACGTATCTGTGCATGTTTCGTCACAAATCTTTTGTCTAATAGTCGATTCAATTCTGGGGCAGAGGAGTGACGACGTCTTTTTGACGAGAGCTGCGGCAATGGTTAGCATACCGTATACGACACAAGATATCACACAACCTAGACCGATAGTCAATGCCCGTTTTCGGGGGGCTCTCGACCACCAGACGGCTTTCTGCTGTTGGTAAATCAAGCTTTGAAGATAACTCAAGGGGGTGTGTTGTCAAGTATCGCATACGGTATGGTATTACTGGTCTTCCCTTCATTTGCTGACGAAAAGTGATCCATCAGAAACGCGTGGCGTCCATGCTACCTTGAAGTCGCAGCGTCAGAGATGCATGTTCAACGGCGCAAGTCCAGGTGGCTTTCGGGGAAAACAACAAGAATGGGCAGTTCGGTCTGCTGTGCTGCATTTCTTCCAGTCTTCCTTCTGCGCCCCACCCGGCGTTCGCAGTGTTGAGAAGCCAGGGCTGCCATCCCTGTGATCAGCGCTGTCTTGCCCGGAAATTGCATCGGTACAAACAAGAGGTACATCGGCGTGCTTTGCGAAGTCTCATAGACTCTTCCTCCTCATACATCGGGCGCAAAGATATTAATGCTCAAGGGAAGATTCGAACCCCGGACCCTGGTAAAATTGGTGAGCACAATGACCACTAGACTACTAGTCAGCGCTGACTAGTAATCTAGTGGTCATTGTGCTTCTCAACACGCAGCATCTGAGTCTGAACCACAACAGAGACAATAAGAGTTTTTCAGTAGATACATTTACCCTTGGTTGCGCTGAGAGGAAATGAACACCTTAAACAGAACCATCACTAGCATGGCGAACTTCGGTGCATTCGTGTTCATTTCAAGGGTTTCGGGGATTAGCCTATTGTCATCTCCAAGGACATAAGCTGCCGCCAGCCTTGACGAGACCAATAAAAAACGTTTCCATAGCACACAAACGAGGAGGGCGGTGGCTCAAATTTGCGACAAAACTTCGCCTTTCCGAGCCTCCCATTCGTTCCGCCTCCGCAACTGCTGAGCCAAAGCTCCTGCTCCCCAAGCTTGCGCCCTGGCTTGGTGTAGCCTTTGAGCGGTTTTCCAACAGTAGCAGAAGCTATCCGTCTGCAGCTTCTTCAGGTCGTACACATTGGCGACGTAGACTTCCGCCGTTCCCCCAGAAGCAGCAGCAGATATGATATAGGCGGGTTTTCTCAGACCCATGGTAGCTACACGAGGTGACCCAGCCCCATCCGTTGCGGCGTCGGCGGAAGGGGGGCTCGCGTCTCCAGCATCCCCGTCTAGGGTACTAGCGCCATGATCGATGGTGTCAGCACGAGCGTCCGTTGGCTGCGAGAGATGTTGTGCGTCCTCTTGGCTGCTCGCTATCGCCGGTAAGGTGACACTTTCCGTCGCAGCCGGAGCGGGTGTCGTCGACAACACTAACGACGTGTCCAAGTGCTTCAGCATACCGTTCTCTCCCAGCATGTCCTTGGGCCCGATCTCTCCAAGGTCGAAGTACTTCAGTCGAGTCTCGACGTCTGCCAAGCTGGATCTGCGCGCAGAGGCTGCCCCGGCGGCGACCGTCGAGGCATGTGAAGGAGGTCCAGAGCGGCAGTCAGCATCTTCTTCCGGGAGGAACGCCTTGAGGATCCGGAGGAACCCCCGCTTCACGACGTAGACGTGATCGACGCGAGAGCCCTCCATGCAGATGACCTGGTTGTCGTGCAGGGTAATCGCCGTGAACAGCGTCTCCACGGTGTTGAGGTCGTCATCGTTGAGGGTGGAGAACACGGCGCTACACTTCAGGAACGCCTGGTGATTATTTGACGGCAAAGCCGAACGGGAACGTTTTGTATCGGGGATTGTTTGATTCGGTGCGGAACCCACGTATTATACGGATATTTTTTAATTAATACTGAAGCATCGACCGTCTTCTGTCATTTTGAGGCTGCGCGTCGCAGGCTGTGGGTACGGGAAAACGAAGATTCTGACTTTCGTATCCGAAGACGTTGAGGGGCGAGAGGGACAAGTGATACCCTAACACCTTTCCCCAGAGTATAGAACGATACTCCCCCTTCTCTCCGGCAGGTTACCTTCTTTGCGACACGCTCGGCGCAGACTGAATCGTTCACAACCGCCGCGAAACGGTCCGATCCCAAGCAGAGCACGGTCGTGTAGGTTTCGCACCTCGCCGTCAGCATCCCTACGATGGGCTTGATGCTCCCAATCACCTGCTTTCGAAGCGGTGGCCCGTTACACGGCATCGTTAGCCGGCACTCATGCGAAGAATTGTGTACAGAGGTCGAAACCCTGTGTTAATCAGAACCAAAGCTTGTACCCGGAACGGCCAAGTTGGAAACCCTTGACCTGGGCGCCGCAACACCGCAGAAAGAGAAAAAAATCATTGTACGAACGCCAAGGTTGCTCGTGCAAGCCTTCTAGGGTTGGCCGGGTAGGGGGTACGCACGTTGAAACAGCCCATTCGGGCGTAGGTATCCGCAAGGCGTTCTCTCGCTAGCCCCGGACACACAAAGTTTTCTAGGATCTTGTAATGCATCTTTGATACGACGTAGCGTCAGATTGACTGTCTCGCTAGCCCCGGATACAGAAAGTTTTCCAGGATCTTGAAATGCATCTTTGATACGACGCAGCGTCAGATTGACTGGCAAAGATGTCATCTGTGTCGGATGTGCACTTGAGATCCAGTTTTGAATGAAGAATCGTGCTTCCTGCTGTATATCGTACATCCTTGCCTCGCCAACGTTGCAGGTCCCGGCTTGAAACAAAACCCCGCTGTGCCTGGACGTGAGCTGCACCTTTCCTTGGAGAATGACGTAGATCTGCGCGCGAAGAGAGCGTGGTTTTTGTATCAAACAAAGATATTTCTCGCCAAGAAGCCCGAAATAATGTTGTCGACATGTACGACAGAGCCTTTAAGGATTAGAAGTCGAAACCAACCATTTGTAGTCAGCGCTGGCTACTTTAATGTATGGTTTTGTTTCGGCCACAACACGCGCGTTTCGGGGCTTCCATGGCGCTTCATGAACGTGGAAGAGAGCACCCACACGCCCAATCACGGGGATGTCGCCCCTCAAGCAGGTAGATTGTGGAATGTCGAAGAACACAACGAACCCTCAAGCTCCCCTCCCCTGCCAAAGGAAAACATAAATCGACTCCAACACAGCACTCTGTTAATGTCGGGCTTCCCGTTTGCCGCAGCCATTATCGCCTCGACCGGTGACCTCAGTTTCTCGAGTACCCGCATGGGCCCGGAATGGGCTCCGGTCTCTCGATTACCCGCAGGGGCCCAAAGTGATCGCTCGCAGAGAATCTGCGCAGAAATCTCCGAGCGATGCAAGAACGCGTCGAAGATAGAGCAGCCTACATTGCAGGAGGATGCCGTCCCTCTCGACCCCCCACGAGCAACACCACCACCAAGTTGCTCGTCAACCTGGAAACTCTCACCTTGTTTTGGTGTTCCCATTGCCGGAATATGGTGCTCCCTGTAGCGAAGTGCTTTAACCGGAGTTCACGAAATAGCTGTTTCTTGTAGATTGAGTCAAGGCTGGTCACCTCGGGTACGGAGTTGAACATATCGAACACGATGGCAACCTCCTCAGGGCTGGCCATCGTCGTTTCGTCTGAAGAGGACCCCGGAGTGTCTGGATCGGCCTCACGAATGTGTCGCTGTACGATGTTGATGCACGAGCGACACTGGTCGGGTAGTATTCCGACGCCGATATTGTCGATCCTGTGCTTGAATGTTTTCTTTATCATCATCCCGTGCCAGAAGGTCAGCTTGCGGTCCTTGAACCGGTCTGTATCGAGAATTGAATCGACCGCACGGGTGCCCCGGAGTACCTGGGTGTATGTCATGTGCGTTTGAAAGGGCGCACCGAGTCAAGCAAACCATACGCTACGTACATGTAGGCAAGTTCGCAAGTTCGTTTATTGCGAAGCCTACCTTGGTCATAGCTTGCTGCCAATGTCTTCTCGCTTCAGCAGCGCCATCTCCGTCTTCGTAGGCTGTGGTAGACCTCGAGTCTAACGTGCCTCCTGCCCCACCGCGAGATATTTCCTTCATGTTGTTGTGGTGGAGTCGATGGAGCCTCCATTGCTGAGTTCTGTGGAGAATATCAACCGGAGGCCGTGAGTGAGGTGGTGTTGGTCTGCCGAGAGTTGCCTTGTAGAGGGTGAAGCTGTGACGGTGGGTATCCCCCCCAGTGCTCCTGCGAACAGTAGGTGCCTGTGGAGCTGCACGGCTGACGCGTTTGGTCGGGACATCCGCGGCATCGCCGGCGGATGGGACGCGGTTGCCAAGCATTTCGTTTCGCCACAGGTGTAATGGTGGGGATGCGGTTGGTGTCGTTTTCAACACTAATACCAGCCGTTTCTGTCGCCCCGCTTCAACTCACGCGACCGAGCTTGATCTAAGCATGGTATTGACCTCTTGCGACACATCTTGAATCCAATGGACAAGAAGCCACGGGTGTCATTTGGGTGGATTATGTGTCTTGCAAGTCCTACAGCATCCATCAGAGATCTGCGGATAGATGTGCAGCGCAACGACCGCGCGGGACTGCTGTTGGAGTAACCGCGGCCAACCGTTGCTGTATCAAAAAAAAAAAAATGCGGGGTGATTCTCGAGAAATTTGATATGCATATACATATACAATGTATATATATATGCGGGAAGGCTGTATCGAGTTCGCGCACTGCTGTTCTTCCACATTGACCGTAAGCCTGACATCAACTCCTTCTTCTGCTGCACAATCGAATCCAGGTGTGTGAGTGTGTTGGTTGGACACAAAGTGTCTCTCGTCGAGTACCACACCAATAAGATGCACCACTACTGCTCAACACAAAGATGTGTACTACTCACTGATGCTGCTGCTGCCCTTGCTGAAGGATACTCTACAACATGGCTACGACACACCGGAGAAACACAGGGAAGTCTCGTGCTGCTGCTTGATGGGGCAGCCAATGATTGCATAGACCCGATGACTTGATCTATTCAAAATGTTCGCCACCACCTTTCTTTTATTGCCTCGCTCCTACTCCACCAAGACTGATTACCCTCCATTCATTTGCAAAAGCACTGCAATCTCTCCCCTCCCATGTAGTACTTATATCACAACCTCACAGGCTAACGTACCTAGAAATGGTGTACCAAAATAAAATGGACCCTAATAAGGCCATTTCTTACGAAGTCTTTTTTATTAGATCTTTTTCTTTTTTCCCCCTCAAAAAAAGACAACTCGCCAAAGAACACCTTCTTACGATGTCTTTTTTCAGGGAAAAAAGGACAACAAAAAAAGACAACCCGTTTTGGACAGCCCATCCTGTCTTTTTTTTGGGCAGTTTTGGACAACTGGAGGCTGTCCAAAAATGTTGTCTTTTTTTCTGATCGCGCGCCAACGCCGACGGCACACACACACACAAGCACACCAATGTGGAGGTGGCTGCCATCGCTGGCGCTGCTTGCAGGCAGCAGGAGTGACACCTGCTTGACTCCACCCTACAACAGCAGTCTGGGCTNATACTTGTTTTTCCTAAATACTGCTGTAAAAAGCCCCCCTCGAACGACTATGATTTTCGCTGGAACAGGGAGCTTGTATGTGTTTAACGGGTAGTCTTTCTGTGTGCATATTTGTTTTTCCTAATATATGTATTTTTCTAAATTAAACCAGCAACTACTGTCAACATGACATATTGCGCCGTGTTCCCTGTGCAGGCCACATGTAAATGTACCTACGCAGATGTTTTTGTGCTAAGCACCAACTGGTATCACTGATATAAATCATCAGTGTATAGGCTTAAACAAACTCGAAATAAGTCAAGTACCCAGCTGGTTTTCCTCTACTCACTGTAAAGACTTCAACACATCCCCTTCGAGTGTAGTTATACCTCGAACGGGTAGTCTTTCTGTGTGTATATTCGTTTCTCCTAATATATATAGACTATATATATATTTTTTTTTTCTCCCATCATTGGACTCTGTCGTCTGCCCCTGTGGCCCCTATCCTCCACTTCTACCAGCTAGACGACCCAACCGGGGTCACATAGGAGGGGGGGGCTGGACCCCCTCCTGCGGTTCCTGCCTGAGGTATTTTTATCGCGAGAAGGGTACAGCAATCCCTTCCCTCGCGACTTGCGAAGTCGATTATGGTTTACTAACAAACGAGCTTTGCAGCGCGTCGCTTTCATCCTAGACCAGGATTTATTTAGTGAGAAAAAATCTCCCTCTGCCGGGACTCGAACCCATGACCTGGCCCTTAGCAGGCTGCGAGGATATATATATATCTATGTATATGGAACTTCGCTCCTCTTCTTCTCGTCCAACAGCAGCCAGCAGTCGAGCAACCAGCACGAAGAATGTTGATCAGATTGAGCTCCATCAATTCTAGTCTAGTTCTACACGCCAAAATCAGATGTTTATAAGTTTGCCGAATCACAAATGGTTGAGAACCTCACTTGCTGTGTAACCTGGTACTCTTTGCTGTGTCCACAACGCTGGGCGCGGCACCACATATGCTTGTGTTTTCTTGTATCGTGTTGTTGTCGTCGCTCCCCTCTCCATTTGGCGCCATCTCCTGTAGTAAACAGCCTTGCGTATGACGCCGGTATGTTTACAGGTGGTCTCACTCAACCTGGTGTGCTTGTGCACTGCGCTGGGTGTATTTGCCTCTGTACAAAACACCAAGTTTTCATTCCGAATGAAATTTTGCACTTTCTGCTGGTGCAACTAACAGGCCTTACCGCACCTTGTGTACGACGCTTCAAGCCATATTTTTTGCCACAGGATTCTCCCAACAAAAAAGCGACACGTCACAACATGTCAAGAGGCCACCGCCACCGCGAGTGATCTTGGGACCGCGGGCGGCCTCCGCTCCCTCGAAGAGAGTAGCCCGTGAATTTCAGGAGTGGACAGCGCCGTGAATGGAAAAAGTGGACGGATCACCTCGTGTTGGGGGGGCCAGAGCACGCACAACTCTGGGCGGGAGACGCCGGACAGAAAAAGCCGGCCACCTCGCCCGAGGCATGATCACCCTCCTCTTCCACGTCCATAACGAGGCGAAGCGTGAGAAACATTTAGGCAGCCAGACAGAAGGGTACGTACGTCACCATGATGCCAATTCATGTCCACGTACGTTTGAAATCCGAAACAAACAACTACCATCAAAACGATCGCGTCAACATGAATCTCTAAAACCGTCCGTGCCGCATTTGTCTACCCTGTTGAATACACATGTGTCACAAGAGAGACAAGGAATAGAGTGCCTCACCTATTACCAGTACCTCTAACAGCGCGTGTCTAAAAATTCATTTAATAACGGGGACATCCAAACGCCGGGCGCCCAGGGAACTACTTTAACTGCCCTCACGGGGCGATCATTGGCCCTCGAACCCGTCGACGAAGCTGTAAAGAAACCCCCGACACAGGACGGGCGTGCTGAAAATATCGCCGACGGTTTTGTCCTCCCCGGTGCATTCTCCCCTACACCTCTCTGTTGCGTCCGGGTTGTGGGAGCACGGTGGGCGTCTACGCCCCCCCCCTCCCCCCCCCTTTTCAAGCAATCGCCGCGATGAGCAATCGGGCACGTCGCAAGGGTCCAAGTTAATCCAGAGCCGTGCGGGTGAGGGACCCGACTCTCCTCATCGATCGCTGTTACTTCTTGTGACATTCCCGCAGGAGTACTTGCATTCCATCTTAAAAAAACAACAACGGACATACACACTTTCAAAAGGCAGCATCTCCGGTGCATCAAGTCACTCCCTGCACGTTCTGGAACTAATTTTCCTTGCATCTTCTGATCGCCAACTCCGCACAAAAAATGCACACTGCTCGCCCGGACAGGAAGAATGAAGGGATCGAACATCGAATTTACATGCCCAAGAAGGCGCTCGTTTCTCGTACGACGGTAGCGCAGTCGCCGCACCACCCAACCCCCTCCCTGCCATGTCTTACGTGCAGCCGACACTCTCAATCGGCCAGCTTGTCCACGTCTCTCACGCCAACAGCTTCATGCATCAAGTTTCCTGTTGCACCTGCGATGGACCCACCAATTCTCCATAAATTTTCACCCCTTTCGGCAGGTCCGGGAGACCCCAGCCGTGGAGCGAGTCCATCAGCGCTGCGGCAATGAGCGCCGATTAGGTCCAGTCGAAATGCCCCCGTCCTCAGCTGTCGGCCTCGCCCCCGCCGCAGTCGAAGTTGGCGTTATTGTAATCCCCGCCCCGTCGTCAGAAGACAAGTCCAGTCGCAGGTCCCCCCTCTGCACCGAGTCTTCCAGGGCTTGGCCGAACGACCGGAGAACGTCTTCAGTGAGCTGCCAAAGAAGCATGTCGAAAGCAGTCGGGGGCTTCGTGGTGTCGAACGTGCTTGTGTTTTTTTCATATCAGCGTCATCTTGGAGAAAAAAAAAAACGCGACTTCTTCCATCGAAACGGGTCAACATTTTCTTCCCCTCAAAAAAGAAAGATCAACACGTGGGTACCCGCCGTGTTCCTGCCAGCTACCGATATAGGATCTGTCTTTCGATTTCACCCCGTCCTCTTTCGGCGAAACTGCAAAGGGCGATGAAAAACGGGGAATCTTGTTATTGGGAAAATCCCTAGTTCAAGATTCTTGGACGGTTTCCCATCCTGCAGAATTCTCGGATGAAATTATCCTCGAAAACTAACATGACACACTACCACGTTGATGGCAAAGTCGGTGGTACATTTGCCACGGACCAAAGTTTTTTCGAGTAATAAGATTGTGGACCCCCTTGCAAACAAAATATCAACGTGCGGACTGCAAACGATATAACTTGGAGTTACTAGCGTAGTCGCAAGCACATGCCTTCGAAACTCATATTTCTTTGTGAATTCCCT